GTCGGATGTTACAACTATTCCATGACTTCACAATATCAAGTGAAATAAAACCTTTTCATTACAAAGTGGAATAACCTGCATATTTAAAGAAATCCTCTTCTCATTTACCCATTTTTCTCATAAAAGAAATTTTTTCTCAAAATAGTTGATCATTTGTCAATAAAAACTGACAAGTTTAAAGTTATAATCTCAGTAATGCATAAAACCTCTAAACTAGTATATTTCTTTTCAAAAACTTGAAATCCATCAGTGAAATAGTAATCCCGCTCCATCAGAGCTAAAAACAAGTTGAAGACCATTTCTAAACCATTTTCATGTTTCAAATACACCTTTCCCTCAAGTTGAAATAGTAATGTCGTGAGCATGATTTCACAAAAAACACAATCATACAATTCTTAAAGCAATCACATCACACAAATAACCGGGTAAACGACTGTCACTATACAATTGTACTAACTTGGGACTCAGCTAGTCTAAGTCCGTGGCCTCAGGCCCAAAGAAATGCAATGTAACTTGAAAATAATGAAAAAGGGATACAAGCCACAAAATCAAATGGACGTGCATAAATCTAAGTTTTCACGTCTCCTAAAGTATTCTAAGGATTCTATAACAATGACCAAAACTAATGATCAACCTAAACTAAGGCTTACCTACTAAATGCTAAGCTAAATACTTGAAAATGTCCATAATATAACCTAAGGATCATGCAAATCTAAAGTCTTATTCTAAATCATTCCTAACGATCAATACAAGTCATTATTTATATAATCTAACTAAGTCAAGTCTAAAGAGAAGAAATCATAACCTACCTAAAAGGTGAAACAACACTCAAACCTCTATTCAGAAGCTTTTCTCTTCGAAGGATCTCCGAATGATGCCACACTATCAAATTAGTGACAAGAACATCTAAACAAGCAAAATAATTGCTACAATGCAATAAAATATTTTGTAATTGAAGATCGTGTAAAAATTCACAATGAACTTTTGCCTCAAAAATGGACACAATTTGATCACCAATCAAGCCTAAAAACTACCCCACTAATTTTAGGCTCAAGAGTGATCAAAATTGAAATTTAAGAGAGGAAAGTGGAAGAACTTACAAATTTAACAGAGAGTAATCGACCCAAAAAATACGCACACAAAATCCTCTGATAGTTCTCCGCAATTCCCACTGAAAACCGTCAAGAATTGATCTTCCAAAATCACCTAAGGAGTTTGCCTTTATGAAAAGCGCATGCTGAAAATGGGCTGATATATTTATAAGTACTAGACATTTTGGTCTCCGCAAAAACGAGACTTGGACCACAAATGTGGAGATAAACTTGTCTGACTTTTTTCAAATGCGGGATATGGTCTACGAACTAGGAGGTCTACATGACTGACCCTTCATAAATGCATGACCTGGTGAAAATGCAGGACCAGGTTCACAAACACCAAGGTCAGGTTGACTGACACTCTGTGAACATGGGACCTGGTTCTCGAATGTGTTTTATAGTGCACGATACACCAACTAAGGTGTAACACCTCAGAAATTGGTAAGTTGAGTGTGGGAAGAATGTTGCAGGAAATTGTACTGGTACAGGTTCTTACGAGCCAACCCACAAGGTCCTACGGTCCGTAGGAAGGTAGTCGTAGAAGTTGTGTTGAAATTTTTGTAAAATATCAATTCTCTGATAAGTTCTTAAGGACCATAAAGATGGTCCGTAGAAGATTTGACAAGTCAAAAATACTGAACGTGGAAAGTGATGTGACTTGAAGAAAAATTTGATGATTTTGGGTTATACGACTGAGGCCTATGAGGCATAGAAGTTTTGATGACCCTACGAAGTGTTTCATGGAAATTGACCAAAATATTGGTCCTAGTAATAGGTTCTACAGATGACAAATACAGTCCGTAGAAGTTCTTATGAATCGTAGGTCAATGCGTAGGGTCTGTTCAGTAGTTTTAAGTTCACTGTTATATGGATCTTGTCCTATCGTTTTAATTCTTAAATTATGTTGTTTTAATCCTATAAATAAACCTATAATTGATTTTACCCTTCAAATCTACCATTCCCTCTCATTCACTCAAATCCCTTAAATCATCTTTTTCAAATTCTCTTCAAGGTTCTCAAGAGATTTCTAGGGTTCTTCAAGCTCCAAGGTCTTTTCCTCAATTGCTAGGACTTTGATTACCCAAGCTATGTGGGAACTTCATCAATGGATCCCTTTCCATCCATTGAGTCCCAAGATTTCTCAATTTCTCTTATGAATTTTACCTAAATTTTCTAGGGTTACAATAGGAATCTTCATGAGTTCAATTAATTATGGTTCAATTGATTATGCTTTATCTCATTAGACATGATTTGATTCAAATTACATGCTTTCAATATTTTTCATATGAACACATACCATATGCCTATTTTAATGATGAATTAGGCTTGGAAGGTTTTCATGTACAAAGGAATTGTAATGGCTATGATTCTAGGTTACTTCTGAATAAAATATCTCATGTTTTATGGTATTAGGTTTACTTCTGATTGAAGTATTTTCATTATGAAAGATTTCAGTGATTTAGCCACTTTCGATTGAAGTGTGATTTTACTATGAAAATATTAACATGATTTAGATGCTTTGATTAAGTGTCTCTAAAACATCTATTATATTATGAAATTATGGTATTTTTAAAGGAGCTATTCTTATGATTTTGGGCCCTATGATCAGGGGCAGAGCTACAACCTAGTAAGGGTAGTAAGATGAACACCCTTCGTCGGAAAATTATATCGGGTATATAGGCAAAATATAGTCTAATATTTGGATATACTATAAATTGAACACTTTTCACACAACAAAGGCAGATAGTCTAGTAGTAGGCACACTCATTTACCTCATGGACATCTGGGGTTCGATCCCCACTAGCTGTATTTTTTAATACAAATCTCTTTTTAAACAAAAAAAACACATAAATTTTAATTTTTGGGCACCTACTCATCGGTAGAAAAAAAATATTTTGTGTAGTCACTCCGCTAATTTTTTTTTATCAACTCTTTAAAGGTTGAACACCCTTGGCAAAATTTCTGGCTCCGCCACTGCCTATGATTGAATTGGTGTTACAAGACTAAGGAAGTATGCATATGATATTATGACTTTATGATTTCTATTGGGAGTTTACTTAGCACCGTGTGGATTTGAGCGATTTCATAGAAATCTTGTGCTTTTAGTTTTTAAAATTAATTCAATTGAAATATATTAATTTGAAAAATATAAATTAATTATTTTTTCATAATATTAGTTAAGAACATATGTTTATTAATTAATATATTTTCAAATGACAATATATTTTAAATATTTAATTTAAACATTTATAAAGTTTCTCATTTGACTAATATAAATTTTAAATAATTAACTTTCATTTATAAAATTTGATATAATCTTATGATTGCATTTGTGCATCCAAACAGTACATGTGTAATAACACTATGGCAAACAAACAGATCAGTGTAATTACTAAGTTGTGTAATTATTAGACTGATAATTACTACCCTAATAATTAGATCAATTTCAATTACCAGGTGACTTTCCAAACAGACCCTTAGTCTTTTTTTTTTACTTTGCTTATTTTTAACAAAATAGAAAATTTTACAAAAGCAAAAGGAAATAGATTTATACAAAATCAAATTGTATAAGAAAAAAGTATTACTATATAGTTTATAGGGAAAAAGGTCTGAAAAATACTCCAACTTTGGCCGAAATTGTTGTTACGATACAAACTTTATGGAGGACCTTTTAGCCCCCTGCACTATTTAATAGTGTATTTTAAAGGTATATATGTGCCCACGTGGACACATTACTATTTAAAATGATGCAATATTTATGATGTCCACGTAGATACATATATACCTTTAAAATACACTATTAAATAGTACAAGGGGGTAAAGGTCCTTTCCAAAATTTGGTATCATAACAACAATTTCGACCAAAGTTAAAGTATTTTTCAGACCCTTTTCCCTATTTTATATCATACATGAAAATACTATATACAAACATATTTTATAAAAAGTGAAAGTAATTTTTTATTATTTAAAAAATGAATATGATAAACTGAGAAAAGAGTATGCATTTTAAAAGTTAAAGTTACAGATTTATAATTTCCTACGAAACAATGAATAGAAAATTTCATAGCAAAGAAAGTTCAATAATATGTATTATTTAAAATATATCATTTACGATATAAAATTTATATTATGTACAACACACGTTTTCATAAACTAGTAGATAATAAGCAAAGAGAAAATGAAAAGGAAAAAAAATATGATAACAACATGATCTTGTTATATTAAATAAGACTTTTTAACATAACATAAATTTTACGATATAATATAATGAAATTTAAAATAATAATCAAAATAATCATTTTAAACTTAACTATACAAGAAATACCATAGATAACAATCATCCATAACTATGATTACAGGAGTTGCAAAAATGTTGTGATGAAAAAATATCCGTGCAAATTGATTAGCTTGAAATTGCTATTAAAAAAAGACATCCCAATGCAAGTGGATTAACAGCATCATCAATGATAAGTGAAAAACCTCCCCTAATATTAGCTGGAAGACCATTCGCCCAGAAGCGAATTAGGATTTTAGATTTTGGGTATATTAATATTATCTTAGCTAAAAAATGAGCTCTAAATTAAACTAAAAAAAACAGTAGCTAGATTCGAAACCCAGGTCTCAGGTATCTTCTCTAGCTTGTACCACCAGCACAATGACACTCATACACTTAACGGGTCGTTTGGTTTGAATACAAGTTATGATGGGATAAGTTATGCTGGGATAAGTTATGTTGGGATTAGTTATACTGGGATTAATTATCCTGGTATTATTTCTTATTGATTGTTTGGTTTGTTGTACTAAAAATAATACTTTCTAAAAGTAAGTGGTTTGATTACAAAAATACCCTCTTATTTAACTTTTTGTATATTTCTTTGGTAGAGTTTTAGTTAAAACCAAATTTAACTACTCAATCCATCCAACATAGAAAATCTTATCAGCTTTTCCCAGCGGATCTGTTTCAGCAAACACTGTTTGAATTCCCACTTCACTTGCTATTGCTCTTGCTGCCGCCCAGTTATCACCAGTCACCATGACACTTGTGATGTCCATTGAGTGGAGAAAAGAAACAACGCGTGCAGCGTCTGGCTTTACAGGATCAGTCACAGCAAAAGCCCCAGCTATTTTCTCATCCACAGCAACCAAAACACAAGTCCGAGAAAAATGTTCATGCTCTGAAATGTAGTTATCAACTTCACTGCTTACTGGGACGTTGAAAGCATGCATAAGCCTCCTATTTTCGACTAGGATTTTCCGTTCTCCAACTTTTCTGCTTACGCCAGCTCCAGTGTGCACTTCAAAGTTCTTTATCTCAGAGTGAAATTCATTTTCAGCACCGTGCTTCAGGCGTAACTTTTTGGCATGGTCCACAACTGCTTTTGCAATAGGATGCTCACTATTTGCCTGAAAATCAAATTCTGGACAAATAAATCCAACACAGATATTCCCAAGATAATTGATACTTCACTAACTTTTTTTTAAAATAACTTCTTCACTGATGATTACACAATGAAAATACCTCGTTTTATTTGAGTTCATTGAATAGCCTAATTTTATAATGGAAAATCAAAAATATATAGAAGGAGTAAAAACTCGTCTTTATTGAAAAATCGAAGAAAAACCCTTTCGTTAAAAGTAAGAAAGAACCTTTCTAGAAAAAAAGAACGAGCACTAGAATCTATACATTGATTCACAATTTTTTTGAACCATATGCATCAAAAGGCGCATGTATGGGTTTAGTGATTCCTAACTGAACACGATTGTAGGTATTCCACTTTTATTATGAGAAGTCCAAAAATCTTTCACTTCAATGGAATTAATGTTAGCTGTGGTAACTGATGTAACTATATAGCTGCAATAACTGATGTAACTACATTCACAACAATTAACACTCTCTTGTAGAACAATATAATATGTTCCCAAGTCAAATTTGCCTGCAATATCAAGGTTACACTTCAAAAGAAAAAACGGAACTAAAAGTGGAAAGCGATGCATTATCATTTTACAAATACAAGTTGAGAAGAAATCATGTATGCACCAAAGTTATTATCTCATGTACCAGAGGGCCATAATATTCAGTTCAAATAATTTACTATTACGATAGTACTGAAGCTTCAATTCATGGAGAGGGCCATAGGATAGGAGGTAGACTAATTCAGAAACTTTATGGTGATAATTGAAGGTCAGTCATGTTGAGCTATGAGCTATGAGTCCTTAGCTATGCCACATATGGAGTTTTGATGATTAACAAATATAACAAACATGATGCAAGAACTGGATGTTAAACATGTCTCAATAATGGCAGATATTGTTTATGACAAAGAACTACTGAAGAACCAATTCCTTAACATGTCTATTGTGTTTATGGCAAAGAACTACTGAAGAACCAATTCCTTACTGTCTATTGCAAGATCTGACTACAGAAGTACACTGCAAGAAGCAAAGGAATTAGGTCCTTCACAGGATACTACTGAAACTGTTGATCAGGAACAAAGCAAATTCCAAGTGCATGAAGGATTCCTTGAGGAAATGGAATTACAGCTAATCACATAGATCAAGGAACAAGAAATCAAAATGAAAATATTACAACAATTGCACACTTGGAAAGAACTTTGGAAATAGGAGAAACACAAAGGAGGCTGACGCGCAAATGAAAACCAAGTTAAACTTGGATTAGGTTCTTGGATTCTTCCACTTATTGATAGCATCCAAAACACCGGGTCGTTTGGTTTGAATACAAGTTATAATGGGATAAGTTATGCTGGGATAAGTTATGATGCGTGTATGCTGCTGTATGTTGTTAAACAGAGGCACCAGCAGTAAACAGAGGCACCAGCAGTAAACATTTTCCAGTATTAAACAGAGGCACCAGCAGGATACAACAAACCAACCAACACTACAACTAAAACAACAGCTAAAACAAGAGTAAAATTTCAGTAAATATTCACCAAAACACCTGTCAAAACTGAAACAAAAGCTCTGCATCAAAGCAACAGAAAAAACAAGACCAAAAATTGGTCTACCATAGTAGAAAAAATGAGACAAAAACTATAGGGAAGCAACATAAGCAACTGCACAAAAATTGATAACTAGTAACAAACTTACAACAAACTTAGCTTTTACATGAGAGTTAATCTATTTAATAGATTTTACATATACAAAAGATTCTAGCATCCTCATGACCTACATTAGTCATACACAAAAGAGTGTGAACATAACTAGAGGATCAAAAAATGGCACTCCAATCAAAGTTTTGATTTGAAACTTTTAGTTGAGCAAAAACTATCACACTAGTGCCACCATTTATATACACAAGCTTATCATACTTCAAAGTTTATCATTGACGACCATGAACATCATTGTTTGGCGCTCAAGCTCACCCATACGTAAAAAGATTTCCATATTTTTGACATCTTCACAGATAACCTTTTTAGCTTTGATACGTTGCTCTATGGTGTACAAATCAAATGTAGGAGATTCAATGATGGAATAAATTTGACCACGCATATCAGAGTGGTCACGATTTCCAATCTTGTCTATCAACGAACCAATTCTTTTATCTTGGCTTTCAGTAAAGCTTTTCATAACTTCCGTCATACTCTTGAGAAATGTTTCATTAACATCTTCCACAACCCTCTTTCTTTTCTTGCCTTTTTCTTTTTCATTGACACTAGAAGAAGATGTTTTAGCATATTTACCTTGCTTTTCAGATGGTCCAGTATGTTCACGAGGAGATCCTCCAGCATATTCATTTTCAGTTGTTTGAGTAAAATTATGTCCTGTATCAGTATTTTCAGCTTCTTCAGTAGGTGCATTAGGTCCATGACTAGATTCATCTTCATATTCATCGTCATCAACATTGATAAGAAATCCTAAACTCATATCAGTAGAAAGTCCTGATGTTCGACTCTTTAAGATATCCTCAACAGCATCCAGTGGCCCTTCTGCATGTTCCCCAGTTGCCCTATCTTTTCCAAAAATTTCCTCCCAATCCGCAAACAGTGGCCATTTTTTAGAATTCATGTTGCTTGCACCAGGTTCATCCTAGACAAACAATAAAATAAAGATGACAATTTTATATGTATTAATTATAAATTATGAAGACTGAAGAAATATCTATATGAAGTAATAATATTCTAATAGCAAAATATTAATTACCTTTAAAAATTTATCCCATTCTTTTGGATCATCAATAATTATAGTTCCATCACTATATTGAAATCCCAAACCACTCCTACCTTTTAGTAAACTTAAGCTTGCATAACTTCTCTTCCAAAATTTTAATTTAGAATTGACATGTGGTTCGCCTTTCAAGCCACTTTCAGGATGATGTTCACGCAAATAGTGTTCCAACTCCATCAGATATCCTGGCCTAAAAGTTCCATTATCAGCTCTCCAACCATTAACACATAACTCTTTCAAACCATTTATAAGAGTACTTTTTTCCGTAGGAGTCCATGTCCTTCGAGTTGACGGTGTTGATCGTCTTCGTCTTGATCTTTTTGGTGGTTGCATTGAAGATTTCTGAATTTCCATTTGTCTGAATAATTTTGTGAAACAATCATTGTTAGTATTAGTTACCATCATAAAAAGCGAAAGTATCTCCAAATCATTAGTTAGCATCATAAAAAAAATTCATACACTTCAATGTACAAAAACAATAAATTAAAAACATACAAATACAACACAAAAAAGAAATAAATTAAACACATTATAAATTAATGTAAGTAATTGTTTCTTATATCATAAAAAGCTAAAAGTCGATGCATCTTACAAGAATATCAAAAACTAAAGGGAAGAATAATTCAAATGTAGCATAAAACATATAACAAGCACAACATAATGGAAAGATCAATTGTTTAAGTGAGCATTCCACATTGATTGAGCCAACTCATCCCTCCATGTGGTCCACTCTTGAGATGATTCAACAACATCAATGTTATCTTGTTGATATTCTACTTGTTCTTCCACATCGATCTCTAAGGGATCCACTTCCATCTCTCTACGAATAAAGTTGTGTATCAAACAACAAGCGCTAATAATCCTGTTATGTATCTTAACCGAGTACCAAGAAGGGCTTCTAAGAATTCCCCAACGTCCTTTCAAGAGACCAAATGTCCTTTCAATAGCATTACGAGCTCTAGCATGCTTCATATTGAAAAGCTCTTCTCGACATTGAGGTGGTGGATTTTCACCTTGCCAATCCCTTAACCAATATCTATAACCTCGGTAAGGTGAAAGAAAACCATTTCCATTTGTATATCCTCCGTCGCACAAATAATAATTACCTATAATATAAATAAGAAATTAGTTGCTTTTATACAACATTATTTTTGTGATATAATTTTAATGTGAGCATATGTATAGAATTACCCTCGGGAATTTTCAAACCATTCGTTCGAGTTATAGCATTTCGTAATACACGACTATCAGCCGCTGATCCTTCCCAACCAGGTAATACATAAGTAAAATTAAGATTTTTATCACAAACTCCTAGTACATTAGTTGCTATTTCTCCTTTTCTTGTCCTGTATCTTGGTTTGTCCTTAGATGGAACTCTAATCTGAATGTAAGTACCATCCAATGCACCTAGACATCCCTATAAAAAAATTATAACACTATCTCAAACAACAAAAATTTCTTCGTAAAATTATATTTATTTTACTTTTACATAAATTAATAGATACCTAATTGAAAGTGCATATACCTTAAACCATCTCCATCGATCGTCAAGCTCATCTTCAAGCACCGGTTTGGGGTTAACAAGTAACAGTGGAGCTAGTTTTAGAATAACTTTCAAGCATTCATTGAAAGCTTGACTTACGCTCCAGCCCGATCTAATATAATCAACCTTAATGGATCTATTCTTCTCATGATGAGCCAAAATATTTAAAAACATTGCTAACTTTTCACTACTTGACATATATTTGCTATCAGTCAAACCTCCAACTTCCTTAGTTAAGAGAACTAAAGTGTGAAAAGAATTTCGATCCATCCTTAACTTATCAATACATGATGTGTCACTGTCTTGTATAATACAATTTAAATGAGATATAATTTTAGGAACTCGACTACTCATAAGGTACCTAATCACATGCCTATTTCTTTTTATAGAAATACCATGAATAACCATGAAAAGAAAAATAAACATAACAAGAAATTGTTGGCACAATATCTCCTCAAGTATGATAAAACATTCATATCGGACTGTAGTTGATGATCCATAAGAAAACCTATTTGTTCATTAAAAAATGAAAAGAGTTAATACACACACACAAAAAAACAATTAAAAAGAATCAACAGGGCAACTTTAAAATGAGGACAACTTGAAATTGTTTACAAATATTTCAAGCACATATAAAGAACAAACTTTTTTCAAAATTTACAAAAGCCCTAAAACATAACATTCTAGATTTATTTATTTTTTTGATTTAAAATTTACAAAAGCCCTAAAACATAACATTCTAGAATTTTTATTTTTTTTGATTTCTTCCATTAAGTAGAAAAGATGAGTGTATCCAAATTATTATGCAATAGATCAGAGAATTATTAATGATGACAAAGAAAGAAAAGAGAAACAAATTCTGAAAAATAAAAAAAATTTACCTTGTTAGAAACTTGAAAGTTGAAGGTTATTGGTAAAGAAGTTCTTCAATCACCCATCTATGGCTTCAATGGAAAATGAAAAGTTGAGTGTACCCAAATCAAAGAGTGATTCTTCTTACTACAATGAAGAAGAGAAGAAAATTGGAAGCTAACACCATAAGCGGTGTTTGTGAAACTTATCATAAAGGGTTTGAAGGGTAGTTTTGTCATTTAATAAATTTATCCCATCACAAATTGTGATGGGATTACTATACCACCTTTTTGGAGGGATAACTTATCCTGGTACTATTTATTAATCCCAGGATAAGTTATCCCAAACAACCCAACCAAACACTAAATAAAGTGCCACTAAATATTTATCCCGGGATTATTTGTCCCAATCCTTCACACCAAACGACCCCTTATATCTTAGTAATTTTTTTCAATTTATCAAAATTCCGTAATGGTGCTTGAGTATTGCAGATCCAGAAATGTTGTGAGCCATTGAATTTTGAAAAGCAAAAGAAAGACAAATAATTTTCAAATTTTGGATTTGATTTTGTAGATTCCAACAAGTAAAAGATGTGGGTCCTTGACATTACCCTTTCAGAGATACAAGCTGTCTTCCTCAAACCCTCAAGCTAACATCACATGTTATTGTACATACTGAAACAAGAAGCAGCAAAGCTAAAGTAAAAAACTGAAGATCCCGAAGCTACGGATACCCATCATAACAAGAAAGCTGCATAAATAATAGTTTTGTAATCAAATGTTGTCATATTATTGCTATCTTCTTTTGCTTCTCTGCTTCACAACACTTTGTTTAGCAGAAGATCCTTATGTATATTTTGACTGGACTGTTTCCTTCATTACAGCTTCTCCTCTAGGAGTTAAGCAGCAGGTTCTTTTCTTTCTCTCATCTCTCTTTCTATGCATATATTGGATCAACTTCCTTTTTATTACTTTAATTAAATTGCACTTCCCAACTTTAACATGTGTTGAATAATTCCCTTGGTTGCAATGGGAACTGGAATCAATACAGTATTTTGCAAGATTTGTGACTAAAATGCATTGTGTAGAGGTGTCTGAATATGTTTATAAGGATGTTCTTAGGCATTTAAGGGCTACATACTAGTACTGTGTAAAATAGCTAACTTTGGGTTCCTGCCCATTTTCAGATGCTGAATTGAGATAGGTTTTTTTTTTTTTTTTTGTTGGATTTGATTGCAAGAAAATTATATTGTTATAGTGGATTTGAAGGGTACCTTCTGGTAGAGTGGATAAAAGTCTCACATTGGTTGGTGAATGGACTAGTAGTCTCCTTATATGGACTTGGGCAATTCTCCCCTCATGAGCTATGAGCTAGTTTTTGAGGTTGAGTTAGTCACATGTATCATATTTTTACGTGGTATTTGAGCCAAGCCCATCCCTGTTTGGGCTCTCGGTCCACGCTCCAGTTAAGCCTGGGCCTAAAGGGGGCGTTATAGTGGGTAAAAGTCCCCTCACATTTGGTTGGTGAATGGACTGATGGTCTCCTTATATAGACTGGGCAGCTTTTGAGGTTGAGTTAGGTCCACGTGTCATATTATATCAATAATTGAATCACACCATTTCATACTTTGAAGTGCTTAAAGTTGTTGCTAATTTGAACTAGATTTTCTCTATTAAGTATGCCTTATCGATGGTTAGAGGTTGGAAGTCAAAATTTTCTGCTGGTGAACTTTGAAATACATCCTAGGAGTTCTTTAGGTGATCAGTGACCAGTTACTCTGTCCTGTTCTCGTACAGACTTATGTTTTTATCTAGTCAATAGCTTTTTCCAGTTTACTTGTGTTGCTACTATACTATGTGCAAGTTAGTTTATCTTACCGTTTGACTTTCACCAGTGTTGACACATTGTAAAGAGTTGTTTGGGTGATCAGCAAGTGCTTCGTTTGTTTTTTTTTGGTCAGTATCTAGTTTTCAAATATTTGCGCTTCATTCCAACAATCTACAATTTGAAGACTAAACGTGGGATTATAGCAGCCAACATGTAATAGATCTTTTCTTTAGGAGAATTAGCTGCAACCCTTTCTAGCTTTCCCATGTTTGTTGGTAATATATGAAGATTTACATGTTTTCAGGTGATTGGAATAAACGGTCAATTTCCAGGACCCATTCTGAATGTCACTACCAACTGGAATGTGGTTGTCAATGTTAAAAATGATCTTGATGAGCCGATGCTTCTTACATGGTAAAGCATAAAACCCACTATGATATATCTACAAGCGCTTAAATGCCGTAATGAACATAAATATGATAATTAAGTGCAGGAATGGCATCCAGCAGAGAAAGGATACATGGCAAGATGGTGTATCTGGCACAAATTGTCCTATTCCTGCTGGCTGGAATTGGACATATGAATTTCAAGTTAAAGATCAGATAGGCAGTTTCTTTTATTTCCCTTCCTTAAGCTTACAGAGAGCTGCTGGTGGATATGGAGGGATCACTATAAACAACAGAAATGTCATTCCACTGCCATTTTCGACACCAGATGGGGACATCACACTCTTTATTAGTGACTGGTTTATAAAGAGTCATAAGGTTAGTTGCAAATTTTAGCAGGTCAGCCTATTTTTGTAAAAAGTAGATCCTTAACAATTTTGTGGCTCACTTATAAAAGCTTTGGGCATTAGGAACTCAGAAAAGAAATTGAAACTGGAGTTGGCCTTGGAGCTCCTGATGGTATCCTAATCAATGGACTAGGTCCTTACCATTATGACAATGCCGTTGTATCAGGCGGTATAGCCTACCAGACAGTTAATGTAGAACCAGGTTATTACATTCTTATTTCTCGTTGGGGCTTTATCTGTATTGTTTCAGTACATAGTCGGATTTTAATACCTTTACATTTTTACATTCCATTGCATGGCACTTTTTGTTGAAGTTTAATTGTAATTATTATTGATAGAGGATTATTTGAGGTGCATTTTAAAGGCTTAACTCTTAGATTACTACACAAAATTCTATTGCTTTGGATTTAGCAAGGCTGGATATATGGGTAATTAAAAGGGAAATTTGCGGAATCTGTTAGATTAAGGGTATATTGAAAACTTTGCTAACAGTGGGGTTTAATTTGGCCACATACTACAACGGAGGATGAATCTTAGTATCTTACTAATATTATAAAGTAGAGGGGTAAATTTGACCTTCTGCTTAATCATCAATCTTGACCTGTATCTTTACTCAAGTTTGAACATATGGGGCACAAGGCCTGTTTTACATTAGAGGATCACAGATTGAGGAAATCCTTAACCAGAAACTAAGGCCTCATTTGTTTTCATTAAGATTAATACGTTTGAATCTGAATACATATCTGAATGATTAAGATCTTGTGAACACTAAATGATTAAGAGTGTCTATTGACTATAATT